CCTCATTGGGGAGGGGCAGTAGGGAACCGATGTCATGGTAGACCTGACCTTGAACTTTGAACTTGCCAAACATGTAAGTTTCTGTCTCAATGTGTCCTGCTCCAAAGGATGTCATTTGGAAGCAGGAGTTGTATTTTCTGATGTTGCTAAGAAAGTGCTTGGAGTTTTGGTGAGTTCCCAGCACCAGAGATCTCAGTGGCTCTGGTGGAACAGGTAAGTTTGGCAGTTTTACCTTGCCATCTCTGCAGCCCAAACCGTTTGCTTCCCCATTCCACTTTTTGGCCCCACACTCAAGACAGATCTTTGTCATCCCACCAATGTTGACAGTGGAGTGTGTCTCATTCTGGATGGTTGGGTCATAATGAAATGCAGCACCTTTCAGTTCTTTCCAAGGTTTAGCTAGCACAGCTGCATGGCTTGCTCGGTCAGGAGCTTGACGTGTTTGTCTTTGTTCTGGCTGCTCAGCTTGTCTTACTGCAGCAAGTCTAGCCTGGTCTGCCTGTTGTTGTTGGGGTGTAGCATGCCTTGCTCTATCAGCAGCTTGACATGCTTGTCTTGGTGCAGGCTCTTGTGCTTGCCTGACAGCTGAAATTGGTAAGTAAAGACCAGGGCAGTTTTACTACTGTTAGTTAGTTAAGGTGAACCAATTTTTTATTTTTGACAGTGATTTCTGTTGATCTTTCAGCAAGCCAATTTTGTTCATTTCTTGACAGTGATTTCTGTCAGGGTGTGTCAGCCAGACTTTTTGTGCACCAAGCAGGTTCTGGGAACCTGTGGAACTCCAATCTGTTGTCCCCGTCATCCTAGTTGGCCTGGAACACCCTTTTTGGGACCCCGAGACCCCCCCCTGGAGCCCCTTGACCCCGACCCCCCTATGACCTGCTACTGTACAGACCCCACCCTCCTGCGAAGGTTTCAGGTCAATATCTCCAACGGTGTCCGAATGCATAGCGTCAGATGGACAGAGACAGACAGAGATCCTTGCTTATAGAGATAAGATTATCTAGGATCTCTGATGTAAATGTTGCAGTGGAAGATTCTCCAAGGCACTGTTCATTACCAAGTTGATCTCGTCATTTTGTTTTTCATGGTAGGAAAAAGTTGATATCACAAGGACTCATGCTGTATTAGTAGACTGGGTGGGCCAGTATTTCCTAAACCCATCATTCAAGAAGCTGTACAGCAACCCACTTGGCTGGGAACTAAACTTTTCCTTGCAAGTGGAAGATGCCTTAATCCTATGGCTTATTACCTATATTTCACATGTGAGAGTGGAGGCTTTGCTAAAACTATGTTGAAGCTTGCACCATTTGCTGTAATGCCTATTTGCATGAAAGGGTTCATAAAATCTCAGAAAAAGAAATGCAAGACTTCGAAGACATCTTCCAGCATCAGGGCTTTTCATGATTGAGGTGAATCTGTTGACTTTTATTCAGGCAAAAGAGACTTCAGTTCATCTTTCTGGTCGTAATTATGTCACCATGTTTCATAACTAGCTGCCATTCTCGCCTGAAAGTAATTTCCTCCCGTTGACTTTTTTGCCAGGTGCTACTGAATTGCAGGCACAGAATCAATATTTTGTTCTTGGTATGGAATGTGTGGAACCCCCTTGGCATGGTTTTATTGGAACAGTTTCTGAAAAGGCTTTTAATCATGAGACTTGCTCTCAGTGGTATTTTTTCCTTCTCTGGATATATCCATGCACAACTAATGTGCAAGGCAGGTGTATTGTCTCTATAGTTCTAAAGACCTTTGCTGAATTCCTTCAGAAAGCTTTCTCTATGATACAAAGAACTCATTAGTTGTCTCAGATCTTTTAAATTTACAATTATGACATATGGAATCCCTGCTGAAATTTGTTTATATTTTCTGGAAATGGAAGGAATGAAGTAAGAGCCATTGCACTTAGCCATTTTCTTCTGCACATGCTGTCAACAGTTAGAAGACTGGGAGTTGCTACGAGGGTTGGATTTTTAATAGTGGCAACACTGTATGAACAACGCTCAGAGATGAAACTGCAGTGTTTGTGTGAGACAGTGACAGGTGACGGTTGTCTGCATCAAGTTTGGTCTGTATCAAGAGAGTCAGTTGACAGAGAAGTAGTAAGTTTTGAAACAGTTCGTCGTGATACCGCTCTAAGCAATGTTCAACAAGCTGAGGATGACACAGGATGTGGATAAACTTTGTTCCACCACAGGAGAGATCTTTGCCAAGGTCATCATTGCTCCTTTTGTCATTGGGTATTATTCCTACAGGGCTTATTCCAAGTGAGTCCACTGAAATTGTCTTCTTTTTTTTTTACCTTCACTTGGAGCCATTTTTAAGTCGAAATCAATAAAACTGCAAAGTGACTTCTCCCTCCATGAAGTTATTTTTGAAAAAAAACATGCCTAATAACAGTTTTCCTTGATTAGACAACATCAATTTGTCAATGCATTATAATTGTCTACTTTTTTCCTGTTGCTGTTGAGTCATTAACCAAGCCATGTTTGCATGATTTTTCTTTCTTTTTCTTCATTTTCCACCTGCTTCTTTGAGCATCAGCAACTTGGAAACCTACTAATGGCCAATGGCATATATTTTTCGTTTTGGTGGTCAATACTAGTAGTTTCTGATGCATCACTATGACCCAATAAACAGGGTGGCACAAAAGTCAGGACATATTATGATAAGTTCACTGTTTAATTTTTTTACCCTTTTCTGGTGAAAGGTGAAAATGGCTGGAAAATTGGCTGAAGACAAGCGAGTACAATTAGGTTTTTATGTCTGCAAAAGAAGGCAGTACATTCCAATCAGTTGCCGATGAATTTAATTTATTGCACACAGACAAAAGTGTTGGATTTTCAGCCAGAAAGTGAACGATCAAGCGCTTAAAAGACACTGGAAATGTGCATGACTGACCTTAATGAAAGTCCTATGATCATTTGAAAGAGAATTGAAACATGTATTCATACTAATTGAAAGCAGTTTGAATATTTGTTAAAATATGTTAACCCTATGTGTCTTGACTTTTGCACCACCCTGTATAATACCAGGAGTGTGAAGAAGTTATACTAGAGCAGGGGTGTCCAACTGGCAGCCTCTGAGCCAAATCCAACCCACCGATTCGTTATCTCTGGTTTATGAATTCCTATATTAACAGTTGATTTTGAAAAATTGCCGCAAATTTCACTTTTCTGCATTAAAAATGTGGTGTGAAAGTCATTAGTGAGACCCCCAACCACACCTGAATCAAATCATTTGATCCCCATCAAATTGAGTTGGACACCCCTGTCCTATAGGCATCTATTATACTAGCCTTTAGACACACATGAGTTTTGTGCTTAGAAATATTTTAAGGTTCTTCAGATGCCCATGAAAAAAAAACATTCATTAGAGACACACTCAGGTGTATTTTTGAAGCATGATTTGTCAAAAGCTAGTATTATTTTTTTATCATTTCTAATTTGATATGCCTCATTGAATCCTTGCTTTGTCAGTGCTGGCTGGGTTGGACCCTCAGGCGTCTTCTTACTCTTCCTCATCTCAACAGTGGTGAACAAACTTCTCATGACCCCTATCGTGAAGGTGTTTGAGCAGGAGAAATGGGAAGGAGACTTTCGGTATGCTTTGTCTGTTGCAAAGATACCTTCTTACTGTTCTTCAACTACTGCAAGGGTATGAATCCCTTGCAGGACTATTGTGGCAACCTAAAAAGAAATCTCACTCTGACTTTAGTACCTCAGATAAATCTCTTTCTGAAATTAGGAAGGTTGAATCTGAATATGAGGTTTGAGAGATAAAAGTTAATTTGTGTGATTTCTCCAATTCATTACATGGTCATTCAAGTTATCAACAAGGCCCTAGTTTCTTCTGCTATGGTATTGGTATAATATCAGACCAGCAGGCATCCTTTTGCACAGAAGTATGCTAGATTGAATCATATCATACAATATGATGTTATAGGTTATCAGGTGCAAGAGGTTCTAGGCCCATGATCCCATCCTGACTCTGAAACACCTCCTAGCCAATACCTCATATGTGCCTTCCCTTGTAAGGTCAGCTACATCAAGTAACCTCTGAAGTTTGAAAACTCTGGATCTTCACCACCTGTGTTCTTTAACATCTCGGAACTAGAGATAGGAGTACCAAAACTCACAGGTTCACCCTCACAAGAATGCTGGGACTGGCAAGGGGAAATAAATGTATGACTTGCTTGGCTTTGATCCCAGGTCTCCCATTAATGGAACCAAGCTCATTGCCAACCAAGCCACTCACCTTCCTCATCATATGATTAAATACCATTGGCTTCACACTAAGTTGCAACCAACTGAGAAACAGGAAAAGCAGTTCCCTTCCTGGGCCTAGCCATGAGAGACCCATCATGGCATGGCCATTTGGACAAAGCTTGCTGGGATGAAATATTCAGAAAATTTGCCATAAACATATCAAAGAGTTGGGACTTACCTTCCCCTGACTGTGATGTGAAGGTGCACAACAGTTATGGAATTGCTTGAATGAAAGCCCTGTCTGTGACTGTTGCTCTGGGGAGATATTAAAGCATGGATGTTGTACATGTTGAAAGTGTATACTCAAAGACTCAAAGAAACAATGTGTTTGCAGATTCAAGCACATGCAGATAAGAGTGAACAGTGAGAGCTTGGCTTTCCATGGCTCATCCATCCTAGAAGCAGGGAAGACAAACCAAAAGCTGGATGCCCTTCTAAGGACACAGCAACAAAAGTTCAACCGCCAATATCTCCTCAGCCTTGCAGTGAACTTTTTTGACTATATTGGATCCATTGCCAGCTACCTCATCCTCTCCGTCCCCATCTTTGCAGGCAGTTACGATCACATGAACCATGCCGACCTGGCTGCTCTCATCAGCCAAGTGAGTTATTCTGCTGGGGACACATACATATGATAAAGGATTCTACTAGTACTTGTAATAGCTTTAGCTCTGTAGCCCCCAGATTTTTCAATGCCATAAACTTTTTATTCTATTTCTTTTGTTCAGAAGGGTAAAAGGTATCCCTCTATGGATTATCCTTAAGCAAGTCAGTGTATATGCATCTGGACTAATCTCAGTCAGCCATAAGNCATTAGAGACACACTCAGGTGTATTTTTGAAGCATGATTTGTCAAAAGCTAGCATTATTTTTTATCATTTCTAATTTGATATGCCTCATTGAATCCTTGCTTTGTCAGTGCTGGCTGGGTTGGACCCTCAGGCGTCTTCTTACTCTTCCTCATCTCAACAGTGGTGAACAAACTTCTCATGACCCCTATCGTGAAGAAGGTGTTTGAGCAGGAGAAATGGGAAGGAGACTTTCGGTATGCTTTGTCTGTTGCAAAGATACCTTCTTACTGTTCTTCAACTACTGCAAGGGTATGAATCCTTTGCAGGACTATTGTGGCAACCTAAAAAGAAATCTCACTCTGACTTTAGTACCTCAGATAAATCTCTTTCTGAAATTAGGAAGGTTGAATCTTAATATGAGGTTTGAGAGGTAAAAGTTAATTTGTGTGATTTCTCCAATTCATTACATGGTCATTCAAGTTATCAACAAGGCCCTAGTTTCTTCTGCTATGGTATTGGTATAATATCAGACCAGCAGGCATCCTTTTGCACAGAAGTATGCTAGATTGAATCATATCATACAATATGATGTTATAGGTTATCAGGTGCAAGAGGTTCTAGGCCCATGATCCCATCCTGACTCTGAAACACCTCCTAGCCAATACCTCATATGTGCCTTCCCTTGTAAGGTCAGCTACATCAAGTAACCTCTGAAGTTTGAAAACTCTGGATCTTCACCACCTGTGTTCTTTAACATCTCGGAACTAGAGATAGGAGTACCAAAACTCACAGGTTCACCCTCACAAGAATGCTGGGACTGGCAAGGGGAAATAAATGTATGACTTGCTTGGCTTTGATCCCAGGTCTCCCATTAATGGAACCAAGCTCATTGCCAACCAAGCCACTCACCTTCCTCATCATATGATTAAATACCATTGGCTTCACACTAAGTTGCAACCAACTGAGAAACAGGAAAAGCAGTTCCCTTCCTGGGCCTAGCCATGAGAGACCCATCATGGCATGGACATTTGGACAAAGCTTGCTGGGATGAAATATTCAGAAAATTTGCCATAAACATATCAAAGAGTTGGGACTTACCTTCCCCTGACTGTGATGTGAAGGTGCACAACAGTTATGGAATTGCTTGAATGAAAGCCCTGTCTGTGACTGTTGCTCTGGGGAGATATTAAAGCATGGATGTTGTACATGTTGAAAGTGTATACTCAAAGACTCAAAGAAACAATGTGTTTGCAGATTCAAGCACATGCAGATAAGAGTGAACAGTGAAAGCTTGGCTTTCCATGGCTCATCCATCCTAGAAGCAGGGAAGACAAACCAAAAGCTGGATGCCCTTCTAAGGACACAGCAACAAAAGTTCAACCGCCAATATCTCCTCAGCCTTGCAGTGAACTTTTTTGACTATATTGGATCCATTGCCAGCTACCTCATCCTCTCCGTCCCCATCTTTGCAGGCAGTTACGATCACATGAACCATGCCGACCTGGCTGCTCTCATCAGCCAAGTGAGTTATTCTGCTGGGGACACATACATATGATAAAGGATTCTACTAGTACTTGTAATAGCTTTAGCTCTGTAGCCCCCAGATTTTTCAATGCCATAAACTTTTTATTCTATTTCTTTTGTTCAGAAGGGTAAAAGGTATCCCTCTATGGATTATCCTTAAGCAAGTCAGTGTATATGCATCTGGACTAATCTCAGTCTGCCATAAGATTAGGTAAGCGCCTGGATTTCCATCTTTCATGGGTATTTCTCTAAAAGTCATTGTGTAAAGGTTTCCCTCTCTTATTGGTATTTCATAGTTATGAAGAAATACCAGGATTCTCATTCTTCATGAAGCTATGTGTAATCACCCATAGTATGTGGGTGCAGCAGTATAATAATTTAAAAGATACAATATGTTTCTCATTTCCCAAAATTATGGGGAAGAGAAACATAGAACCAGCAAGAAATTTAGGAATTTTTGTGTCATCTCTTTTTTCTCATGATCATGGATTGTCCTATTTATACAGAATAGCTTGAGGTATCAATGCAATGCTTTAAAGTGTGTAAATTTCATAGCATGCTTTGAAAACTTTTATTCCATACATTCTGGGCTTTCCTTGGCTTTACTGAAGGCGACATTCAATGTTACATGTGTCATTCAGTTTAACCTTTTCCACTCGAATGGGCAAGTATACTCACCCATTGGTACATTGACTCTTGCAAAAATTCGAGTGGAAAAGGTAAATTCAGTTTCTAAGTTTGATATGAGTTTTTAGTCATCTGCAAGTGACATGTGTAGATGCAGGAATAACAGTTGATAAATATGATGAAATGAGAGATCCCCTTTGTGTTCTAGAATGCATTTGTTTGCATTTACCTGATCTTCAGCTTCAGTTCCCTTGTTGACCTATCCCCAAAAGTGGTGGACATTGCTGGTATGACCCACAGAGTGGCAGAACTCGTGGAAGAGCTGAATCGTCTGAAGGAACGCAATCCTTCCTCATGGTTACTATCCCATTTCTTCACAATAATTTAACACTTGGTTGTATATGTTAATGCATATCACTCTCCCTTGTTGCTGATTATTTGTAGGAGAGATGGTCCCTCTTGGCCCCTATTGCAGTCTCAAGCTTCCACTTCAAGTGCATCTGCCCCCTCAGTCTATGATATTGTGCAACTTTCAGTCACTGCTCCATCCAGGTCACAGCTCCTAATAAAAGGTCGTGATTCTTCTTCTTTTTCTTGAGCATGGCTTACATGAATGGCTTGTTCCTTAAGATGCTGGGAAAATGTATTCTTGAAATATAAATGTTACATCTATTCATAAATATAATATTCACAAGCATTCAACTTTTTACCTTTCATATAGTATCTTTCAGCTGACAACTGCAGTTTGTAATCACATGCTGACATTTCAGTGTCTTTCACAAGAGTCAAGTTTTTGGATCATGGACGTCATCCCAAAATAGGTGTTTGATGGGAAAACATGGATGGGAAGATTCTCTTGAAAAACCTTCATATAAATTAATTACTCACACAAGAGACTAGTTGCATGCCATATCAAAAACCTATGGCTCTTGGTTAACATGCTAATGTGTGGTAAATAACTAGTTTTTTCAATTGTGGAAAACTATCTCTAAGCTGGTCAGTCATTATGAACCTTTCATGATCTGCAGGAAAGACTACTACTGAAATGCCATTGATTGGGCAATGCATTGGACTGCTCATGATACTTCAGCGATGCCTGATTTAGAATCTATTTCCAAGTAAAATCTCTGAACATCTCGTGAAACACTCTGTCTGACTCATGATTTCAGGTCCACTGCTTTTCCTTTGCATGCCCCGGTGTCTTCTACATTGTCACAATGGTTCACTCCAACATTGATCCATGTTTAGTCTATCCCCATTATAACATCCACTTCATTGCATTCTGTTCTTGAGTAGATCTGGACCTCACGATCAAGTTGAGGAGCAACATTCTGATCATGGGACCGAGCAGCTGCGGGAAGACGAGCTTGTTACGGACCCTGCGTGGTCTCTGGACGCAAAATTCAGGCAGCCTCAAGTGCAACCTTCCTGTAACCCCAAGGCATACTCTCTTCATGCCACAGAGGCCCTTTTTCACTGATGGAAGTCTCCTCGATCAGGTATATCTTACACAGGGTGCATTTAGTTACTTCGTCTTGACCCAGTCTTGGGAAAAAATACAGAATGATTTGTGTAGTGATTTGGGTAACAACAAAACCCACAACTGACTGAGCCCACTATTTCATTCTTATTCTCCTTCTCTTAATAAATTTATTCTCCATAATTTTTTTACAGGTTGACTATCCCCTCCAAGATAGAGGGATGGGAGTGCAGTCTTATGATGAAAGTGTTATGGAGAGTCTCGAACTTGTTGATCTACTTCCACTTGTTGACCGGGTTGGGGGTCTCAGAACCCCTGTCAGCTGGAACTGGTATTTTTTTCCTTAAGAGTCCTGAAAATCATTATTAACATTGTTGTCAAATTACTTAGGATTACCCTGTGCTTGGATCTTAATTTCCTACTGTTGAATTGCACTCCTTTGTTGATTTTGATATTTACTTACCATATTTGCCTGGCTTATGAGGCATTTAGGATTAAATGGAGTAATGCAGAGTTTATTCCCTTTGGTAGTGCGGCTAGTCGCATCTTCCGATGTCATTGGGAGTTAGATGCATTGCAACATGTGGAAACATTTTAATGTTTCAACCAGATCAGTGCATGAATTTAATGGCATGAGTCGAACAGCCATTTTACACTCTTGCACTCAGCATTGACTCCACTGAAATTTAATTGAAAGGAGGGACTTGGAGTTATCAAGGAAATGCCACCATAGGGAGCTGGATACTTTTTCATTTTCAATTAGCAAATAGGCTAAAAGCACCAATGTTCGGACAGTTAAGCCAGGATAGAATTGGAATTCGATTGTCCCACCGTAACCCATTGACGCTGGGAACTGTAATATTACATTTTTAAACACATAGTGTTCTGCAGTCGCTGGGCGTGAATGGGTTAATGGTACAACCCAGACACTTCTTTTTTCTCTGGCAGCACAATATGAGTAGATAGGATGAAGTTCAAACACATTATAGTTAGGACACACCAGAAGAAAGGATGTGTCTCCCACGATGTCAGTGGACGCAACTGGACACATCTCAGTTAATAAAAATAAATTCTTGACATGGCTTGCAGTCAAGAAAATTTGGCAAAAGAGATGGAGTCTTAAGCATTAGGCATTCTTTGCAATGATGGGGATGTCTGTTGATGGATAAGTTCATGTGGAAATAAAAGTATTTGATGAAGATGGATGACTCAGGCATAAAAGAAAAACCTTTTTTTCCAGATGAAGTTCCAACTGTTGAAAAAGAATAGTTTAATAAATTAGAATGCAGAGAACGTGAAAAATAATTTTTCTGTGTTCTACTTTTCCCCATGGAACCATGTCACTGTGCAAACTTTCAATTCCATAAGGAAGCCTCATTTTAAATGGTCACTCAAAAAATTTAAGGAATTTAAGCAGAAGTTTTTTTTTAATGCTGTTATATTTTCCATCTGTAAAAAAATAAGCAGGCGATATCATGGAAATGAATGTCTGTAATGGAAAAGCAAGAAATTGTATGGTTCTTTTATTAACCCTCATCCGGGCAAGCTTTTTTACAACCTATTCCGGGCAAGGTGAGTCTGTCAGACTCACATGTAAAATAAGGCCGTTTGCTGCGGTTATGGTATGTATTTCTTTGTAAATTTCTTTGTATTTTTGAAGAGCACGAACAAGATGACAAAGTCACGAAAGCTCATTTTTCTACGAAAAAAATAATGACAGTAATAGACCGAAATATGTTGTAGTGAGTCCAGTGGACTCACCTTGCCCGGATTAGGGTTAATTAGACTGCATTATTTGAAAAGGAAATGAGGCTCCTGATGTAATCATCAAGGTGTGTGCCAGGAAGCACTAAGCATTTTTTTGGAATACTGCTGCTTCAATCCTCAATTTTTTTATCATCACCAAAATTCAATTTCTGCCATTTGTAAATATACTATCCTGTAATATGGGTATCATGAGTTTGAAAATCGCATGCTCTCCCAAAGGAGCAGGATGGAGCACTTGGAGCACCTTAATATTCTCTCTCACTATCAGGCTTTCTTACTTCTTATCCCATGTATTCTACCTATTTCTCTAATTATAATGACACATCAAAGGAGACTAGATGCTGGACTAGTACCAATATGTTTTTTTTTGAGATTGCCCAATCTTCTTTTCCTTCCCTAGAAAAATAAGAGCACATTTTTAATTTGACGAAAAAAATTAACTTATATGTATTAGACGAATTCATGATGAGTTCAATCATCGAATATTTAAATGGAAAGGCCTACTTACTAGTTTCAGTAACAGAGATCACCTTTATTGAACTTGCATCATGTATATTTCCTCATCGAGCTGTATTTATTGCACTCTAAACTTTACAGCGCTAAGAGCACTGTTTTCAATCGTGATCCACAAGTATGGAGTGATATTTTGCTTTAGAAAAGTCAGGTGATTGGTATCTGAGCCATGCCAAGTTATACCTGCCTCTACTTTTCAGATAGAACCAATTATGTTCTAAATGGCAGAAACCCCTCCAGAATGCAAATAGGACGATAGCAGAATTTGCCCAAATCACTTATCTTGGTAAAATTAAATGACAATGTCACCCTCAAGTACTACTGGATTATCCTCATCCAACTTTTAATGGAAGATTTTGTTGCTGGTATTTGAGTGAATCTTGAAATTTCAGTTGGTTACCTGAAATGCCGAAAGAAAGAATTGCTTAGTCCCCCATCTCCTATGGTGCTGTCACGAATGCTAAATTACAGAGGTTCCTTTGTCTATTCTCAAGTACCCATTCACTTCATAACCTTCATCTTGTAATCCTTGTTAAGAGAGCACTGTTGTTACAACAATTGCAAATGTATTTGCACATAGCTGCACGAAAACATAAGCAGTCGACATTTTAGAAACTTGCTGAAGTCATTTCCTACCGTGCTGTGATTTTTGCCCTTCTGCCATGATTCTCATGCTAGGTATGAGGTGCTGACGCCGGGTGAGATGCAGCGACTGTGCTTCGTCCGCCTATTCTACCATCGTCCACAGCTGGGTCTTCTCGACGAAGTTACCAGTGCCATCTCGGAGGACCTGGAAGCCGTGCTGTTCCGCCGCTACCGGCAATTGGGTATCACCCTGGTCACCGTCGGGCATCGGCGCAGTCTGAGGGCCCACCACGATCTCATCCTTGCACTCGATGGACGGGGGGGGCTGGACCTTGGAATCCCTTCGATCCTGATTATAAGCCTCTTTCTTAGGTCCTCTTTAACCATCGTGACATTCCCAAAGAAAAAAGAGTAGAGTGTCCTTGTGCTTCTCCCTTGGAAAAGAAAATATTGTGCATGTTGAAAACCCATGGAAATTTTCCTCATGGAAGTCCATAGGGTAAAAGAAAGGAATTATATTCTGTCAGCAATACAGCTGTCCCATCAAAGTGTCACCCATCGAAGTCCCCATGGACTTCGATGGGAAGCCTCCATGAGTTTCCTCAATGAAGCAAGTGCAGAGACTGACCGTCTTCAGCAATCGGGAGTCCTGCCACATTTGTCTTTCACTGCCATGGTGATCGTGTAAAACTCCCACCAGATCTTCTCAATGTGATGGTCACATCTGGCTCAAGTATTCCTTGTAGTCTTCCTAGTTGATGCCGTAGGAGTGGTTCTTCAGATGCATTTATTCATTCTGAATGGACGAAACGAATTATGTGACTGCTACTTTCCTTTGCACTCATGTTCGAGTCCAAGTTCCTCAGGGAACCCCTCATATTTGTGTTTCCTTCTTTTTTTTATCTTTGCCCAGTGCCATTCTCCAGTGCTCTCTTTCTGTCTGTTAACCTTCTCATTCAGACTTATGATCTGATGCATGCAATAGGGTAGTATTTTTGTAGTCAATTTTTTTACTGATGCAAATGCGATGTTTGAATCTGGAGTTCCCAACATATGACATATCTCAACTTGAGGCTCCCTAATGGACACTTGTCAGCATAGCCCCTTACGGCCATCTGCATCTTTACTTTCTTGAGCTCTGTTTACCTCCCAACTGAGTGTATAGTATAAAGTAGCTTATTTATGGCATATGGACTCTCATTTCCCCCATATTTTCCCTTGAAGGGTGTCTCCATGACTGAATTGCCAAGGGTCTCTTCAGAATTCCGAAGCACGACAAAACGAAGAAAGCCTAGACCTAGAATTTAACAATATCTTGAATGCACTGAAAGAAGACGACAGAATTCGAATTGGCAAAATGTCGAATTACAATTTTTTAATGGAATGCCCGGGTCTTCATCTGGAATCTAAAGGAGGGATTCAAAACAGCAGAACATATGAAATACTTAGGAGAAAGCCCATGACATCTGTTTGCACGGTCGTTACGAATTATTTGAATCCCTTTCCGTCGGGCCCATGAAGTCTTGCCCTACCTAATCTGTTCCTCGAAAAATTCCAAGAAGGCCCACAAATTTGAACGATCCGACGGCAGGAGTGATGCGAACCTGCGATTCCATCCTTCCACCGAATCGTTCGTTCGATGATCGATTTTCGAAGCTTCAAGGGCGTTTCATGTACCTTACGGGAAAAGGGGAGTGCTCCGGCGGGCTCGCATGCTACTGCATCCATGTTCTCGGAAGTACTGTAGTTGCAATCTACTGCCCATGTTCGGAAATTTGTGGGAGATGAGCAATTTAGGCAACGAGGGCGTCCTGAATGGGCGGGGCCAAGGCAACAATAAGCTCACGAATAAAGAGAAATCCTCGTCTTTGTTTCTACGAGAGGAGGATATTGGATTCTCCTCCGGATGGATTGCGAGAGGTGGAATTTCCACATTCGTTGGAAGCGGACTTCGACATCGAAAGGGAGAAATGGTCGTGGGGAGCAGTCTAGGTCCGAGATGGTAGATTCTATGTTTTCTGTCTTTTTCTACCTTGTGTTACGTTCCACGTTTTGTCTCCTTCGACGGCTCGTGTCATTTGCCGTCGCGTTATGTTCTTCGTTTTCGTTCTTTCTTGGTTTCGCTATAGACCCGAAAATTCATCCTTGGAGATGTTTCATCACCGGTTCCCGGTGATTGCTTCCATGCCCGAGGTCAAGGGGGAGTCGGGACGGAATAAAATCGTTTGAAAAGCTGTAAGAAAAACCAAGAAATAACAGGGAACACATCACGAGCGCATTGCAATAATATTTTTGGAATCCCAGGACACAGCAAAAGCCTGTACCCATACGAGATGGCCTCCACAGAGATTAAATTATTTTGGGGGGAGGTTACCTTTGAAAAACAGCTTCAGAGAAAATTATACGAACGGTATATCTAGCACTGAAATTAAAAAAAATAATAATCCGGTTTTCCTCAACCTTAAGCGCACGTGCCAAGAATCATCGGTGGGGTCATAAACCGATGCTTGGCATGCCGACCGTGACCTCATATCTCGAATTCGATTATATTTCGACAATTTTCTCCAGTTTTCTTTTGGGAAACGTTCGTGCGTGTGATCGGCCGGTAATCTGGATTCTCCAGCAGGTGTTTCATTTCCCAGAAATAAAACTTTGCCTGGAAGTTTTGGATCGGAACGTGCAACTTCATTCGTGACGGAGTCGAGGGAGACGAAAAATGCCAGCGTGAAGTCACGACCGAGGATCCGCGAAAATGCATGCAGTGAAAGTAAGGAGACCGTAATGAAGGATGTGGCTCGGGAACGAAACGACGGCGTGACCCCCCTCCATCTTTGAGGCCCGGGGAGGTCAACCCCTGCCCTCCTCCGACTATCCGCGAAAATGCATGCAGTGAAAGCAAGGAGACCGTAATGAAGGATGTGGCTCGGGAACGAAACGACGGCGTGACCCCCCTCCATCTTTGAGGCCCGGGGAGGTCAACCCCTGCCCTCCTCCGACGAATCGTTCGACGATTCCTCCGACGAATGCTTGGGTTTCCTTCCGCCCTTCGGCGGCGAAGAAGTCGGACCGACGTTCCCGGTTGCATCGAGGAGGGACAAGGTGCGTCCCCCTCGCTGGCGCCCGTGATAGGCCGGTTCCTCCCCGGTCCCAGGGTCTTTATCTCCATACGCCCAAATCACCTCCACCGGCTCATTCTGAAATCGTACGCATCGAGTAGGCTCTCATACGTAGTCCATCTTGCTTCGTTCAAATTCATCTATCGTTGTGCATCTAATCTTCTCGGTCAGAAACTTTTACCTCTGCTATTCTTTCCTCGATCGATTTCACTTTTGATCCGATCGGTCCTATTTATTATTATTATTTTGTGTCGACTCATAAAGAAGAGGGTCGGTGAAATGAGGATTTTTCTTCACCCTGCCGACGCTCGATTTCTTTCACTGACATCTTACAGGAAATATGATGGATATTCTTGTCTTTTTATCGTGTTCTCACAAAGTGAGAGAAACGTGAAAGAAAGAGACGGTATTTTGATCTACGACGCGTCGTAAACCCACGGTAACTACATGCTCGCGAACCGCGAGAAAATTGATAGGCAATATCGAGCGAGAGAATGCGAATGCTACAATTCTCGGCGAGCCGAGTGGAACGAGAAGCGAAAGCTGGGAGTCCATCTCTGAAAGCCACGCTTCCTAGATTTCCCGAAATTTTCTCATGTGGCACTTCACGATGGGTCTGCGTTTTCGTATCGGATTTCGACTTTCGGCTTGCGGTGAAATCGCGCGTCGGTGGGGAACGCGTTACCGTGATTTCATAATCCTGCGACGCATCCGTGGTGTCGATCTTGCGAGAGAAGCGAAGCCAGGTGTGGGTCCCGTTCTCCGCCCCGCTGATCAGTTGGTAATTCTGCTGCTCGTCCACGACAGGAAGGGTGTTCGAAGCGGAATAACGATCCTGTCGGAAAAGAATAAAAATCATGGGGTACGACGAAATATAGGATGTATTTCCGGCGCTCCAATGGTTTTCCTTCCCGGAATAGAAAGGAAAATGGAGAGGATGCGACGTTCGTGGTCCATTCAGGTACTGGGATGCTCATCGATGAATGGAGGAGCTTCCCGGAAAAGGGGCATAAGTACCCATACGCCCTTTTTTCCGCATTCCTGTTCGTGCATTGCTTTTGGCTACCTGTGACGGCACGGACAAATAATAAAGGTATTCCAGGTGTGTATGCATCAAAGGACAAACGATCCGGTTCGACCAGATTCGATTCTGTGAAACCCGAGTAGATTTTCCGACTCATCTCAAATCCTATCTTTCGCACTCCAACTACGAGGGTATCTTTTCCGGAGAACTACTCCAAGAATAATTTTTTATTTTTTTATTTATTTTTAAATTCGTCATTCTTGCAGTCTTTCGATCGACTATAGGAAGAGGAATGACGCCACCTGAAATGGAAAGTATCGAGAATCTTGTATCCATTTTCGGTGGAAGAATTCGTCCCGAGCCCGATCGACCTCGATGGGGCACCAGGCGGCGACAGAAGCTCAGACACGACCGCCGAAGAATTGCACTATGCCACAAAGGAGAGGGTAACTTGGGGGAATATGGCCCTAACAGACCGAAGAATTAGTTTGAGCGAATTTTAAAAATAGTTCTATCGAAGAGTACTGTCGAAATGTCTACACCTGTTCGTCGATCCGATGCTTGCAGGGATTCGAGATACGTCGACGTATCGAAAGCCGTATGCATACGATTGTTCGACTCGTGACCCAGAAACTAATATGAACCTTGAGCAACTTGAGGGGATATTTCCTAATGACGGCATGGATACAAAAACCATTTGTTCGTAGTTATTCTATGGTCACTCCAGAATGCTTGCCAAATTGCTAGCCCCTTCACTTGCGGTTTGCGGGCAGTCTTCTCAGTTTTGTCACGCGAATCGATATGGCCATTTCGATGTGCCCATTTCGATTAGGTGTAATTTGGACACATCCTTGGTTTCATGGTAGTACCGCACCGACTCGTCGGCAGGGTCGGCTTCCTTTCGTGTGGGACTTCAGGCAGCAAAAGATGATCCAACGCGCATCCTCTGGTAACACGGATGGACGTACCGGACGTCTGGACGGGATATGCAACGCACGACGAGGCGGTGCACGAGGATGTCCCCAAGCACCGCCTGATGGACATCCGCTTCGTGCGCTCCAGAAATTTTCGTAGCCCAAGATTTCAATGCTGCCAGATATCCTTCGGTCGAACAGTTAAAATATCATTTTGTGATTTTTTAAGTACTACATTCGTGCAACGTTTTCCCCGCTAAGTACGACCTCTTAGTTCACACTCGTAGTGCATTTTCACTTTGATCTATGGTCGCTCCTCTTACGCCCAAAGTCTCCAAATACAGTCTCACTATCGAGTGCAATACTTCTCAAAGCCAAAATCATTGCAATCCTGCTTTTCACAAGAAGCTCCTCGAGCCAGGTAATGATGTCGACTCCTTGCTCGTTCCTCCGTGCAGTTGATGTGTGTATTTTTCAACTGCTGAGTCTCCGTCGTGTTTCAAGGTCCTCAGCACGTTCAAGCATATTTCACACGTACCTCATAAATCTGGAGTTGTTTTTTGAGAAGTGGCCATGCTATCACAACAATAGGGGATCCTTGGGTGCTTGCATGTGCCTTGCTGGGATTTAGTCAAGGAGATATCGATCAATATTTTACAAACATCGTAAAAGTCGAATTCGACCTTGATGGCCGTAAAGATCGGATTTCATTTTTGAAAGCCACATTCCCCCCAAAATTACCCTATCCGTACGGAAGGGGGGATGCTTCATCACAGGATCTTCGTCCGAAAAATCAAACGAAAGATGAAATCCAGCGTGGGAAAATATGATAATGCAGATTTATGAGGTACAACTATGCAATCGGGTCGAATCGGCCAACAAACGATTGCAGCATGGTCCATTGCGCTCTCGCTCGTCGATTAGCCTGGAATCCGTACAAAATAGGCATATGCAAGTAGGCCTACATGGGAGAAGAAGGGCGACTCACGTTAAAATAGGGAGATCCGTTCCTGACTCCTCCGATGACCATGTCGGCCCCATTCATTTCGCCGTTGGGGGAGAAACCCATTCCGATCCACCCCGTGCTTGGAGCAACGAAGAAGAACTCGATGTCTCCACTCCCAGTCTTCG